CATTTGTCCAGTCCATATTTATGAGCAGATACTCCTGCCAGGAGCTCTTCAATGCACCAGGAGACAAAGTTCTGGCATCTGTGAGGCTCACGTTCTAGGGAAGAGAGACAAAGAACAAAGGAAAACCCAGCACTGCAATCCAGGAGCAGGAGAGGTCCACAGGAAAGCAGAGCTGGGTGGGCCAGGGAGCCCGCGGACTGGGGGCTGGAAAGGGAGGTCCGGGAGGGGAGGGGTGACGCTGGAGCTGAGACTGGGGTGAAGTGAGGGGGGAGCCCTGGAAGGCTGGGAGGAGAGGTCCAGGGCAGGGCAGCAGGTGCAAAGGCCCCGAGGTGGGGTTGCCCACATCCTGTGTCTAAGCACACCTGAAGCCCAGGTAGGGAGCGGACAGAATGAGCTGAGGACCGGCTTGTGGGTTGGTTGAGTGGTGCTGGGGACTGGGTTGTGGGTTGGTTGTATGGTGCTGGGGACTGGGCTGTGCTTTAAAACACTCTGTCTTGAGTAGAGAACAGAGTGAAGGGCCAGAGGGAAGCTGCAACAAGAGGGAGGAGCCGGGAGAGCCCAGAGGAGAGATGGTGTTGGCCGGTGAGGGTCGGGGTTGGTGGAGGACGAAGCATGGCTGGATTTAGGGTGTTTTAAGTAGAGCCCTGGGGATTGCAGAAAGGATCGGATGTGGATGTAGGACAGGTGGAAGGGGAAGGCAGCATCCCCACAAGGAGGGGACTGAGCAGAATCCAGGTGAGGTGGGGTCTCAAGAGTTGGGAGCTGGCCTGCGCGGCGGAGCACACCTGTAATCCCAGTGGCTCGTAGGCTGAGTCAGGAGGATCACGGGTTCAAAGCCAGCCTCAGCAAAAGCGAGGTGCTAAGCAACTCAGCCCCTGTCTCTAAATAACACAAAATAGGGCTGGGGACGTGGCTCAGTGGCCGAGTGCCCTGAGTTCAATCTCCAATGCCCCCCTCCCCAAAATAAAAACAGTCAGGATCTGGACGAGTTATATCCAAAGTTATATCTTTAGACGTCACGTGTGCAGCTTCCAGGTGTCGGAGGCAGCCCAGACTCGTGCAGCCCATGCGGCCATCCAGTTATCACGCCCATTTCACAGATGAGGAGACGGGGTCCTGGTTAAGGTTAAGCAACCTGCGCGGAGGCCCGAGGTGCTCAGGACACAAGCCCAGGCCGCCTGCTCCCCAGCGCACCTCCCCTTTGTCCTTCTGGCACCCATTTCCTCTGTGTGAGCTACCCGTGCTGGCCTTGCTCTGAGCCCCAGGTTGGAGCAGTGGTTCCTTCCTGCTGCGCAGGTGCGGGCCCAGGGAAGCAAGCCAGCCAGACCAGCAGGGCGCTAGCTTCCTGGGGGGAGGTGGGTGACAGCAGAGCAGAGCCTGATGGCAGAGGCTCAGAGGTGCTGCAGGGTGGAGGAGGGAGAGGCAGGGCCTGGTCGGGGCTCGGAGGGGCACCGCTGGGGGCTGGCAGGGGCTGTTGGGAGGAGGTGGTCCCCGCGCGGCCACACTATGGCAGGGGATCCGCATCCCAGCAGAGGGAGGGGCATCCCAAGGGGCCTCTTGGTGGGAGGCTGGGCAGGGAGGGGCACTGGCAGTGCCCGAGTGGCCAGGGAGGCTGAGTGCCCCTAGAGCAGCGCAGAGAGGAGGCGAGGGGCAGCGGGAGGCAGGCGGGAGGCGAGGCAAGGGGGGGAGCCAGGGCAGGGGGCTCGCGGCCCTGAGGAGGACGTCAAGGTCACGGCGACCCCCACCTGACCCATGCCAGTGCCGACTAGGACCCCAGTGCAAACTAGAGAATGGCTGCTGGGACAGGGACCTCAGGATGACGGGGCCCGCGGGCAACAAGGCCCAGCCTCTGCTGGAAGTGCCAGGGCTTGAACAGCAGCAGAAGCAGCCCTGCCCCCACCGTCCATCCATGAAGGGCCTGGTGTCCCTGGAGCCCTGTTGCCCGGAAGTCACCTGCTGACTCGCTCATTCAGTCAGTGAAGAGCCTGGAGCACCCGGATGGCACGGCCACCTAGAGGGACCATGCAGGGAATGGGACCTGGTCCCTCCCGCCGGGTGGCCTTCTGGAGCAGGGAGACCAGACGGAGGAGGAATGGACAAAGGTGGGGTCAGGAGAGGCCCGGGGCCAAGAGGACGGAGGCCACCAGCTAGAACAAGGCCGTCCGCTGCTGGGGTGGGAAGCCACCAGTGCTTGGGAGGCCCTGCCCGCTTGGAGGCCCCTTGGTCTCAGGCCCTGCAGCCCACCTGTCCCAGTGGTCCCCGGGCAGCTCAGAACCCGGACCTACCCTCCCGCTGCTCACACCTGGCTCCCGGGGTAGCCCCTCCCTCCTCAGTCACCCTTCCCCCAGAGCACAGCCTCCCGCTGTCTAATGTGGGGCTCGTCCTCCTCGGGCTGCCCGGGCTGTCCTCTGCCTGGGCACATGACGGTGGGGACAGGGCCCTGAGCTCAGCCCACCCACCACGCTGCTGAGCTCAGCGCATTCTTGGGTGCTTTCAGCCAGTCTGGCCCCTGAGGGTCCTGCCATTGTTGTCCCGCTGTACGGAGGAGGAAGAGAGGCCTCGGGGACCGCTTAGGTGGTGGAGCAGGGGCTCCCGCTCAGGGCCGAGGACACGCAGCTGGCCCTGGCAGAGAGCCCTGGGGTGTGCGGGCCTGTACCAGCGACTCCCCGCAGGCCCGTGTCTGTGTGCAGGCCTAGGCAGGTCCCTGGCACAGCCCTGAGGGGCAGCTGCCATGTCCCCATGTTAGAGGTGAATAAAGCTGGGCTGGGGGACAGTCACCCCAGACGTTGCAGGGCTTGTGAAAAGAGCTGAGATTCGAACCCAGGGCTGTTGGATTCCAGAGCCAAGCCCTGCCCGCTCCCAGCACCTGGAGAACAGGAGGAAGAAGTTAAGGCACAGGGGGCCGAGGAGGCAGGCTCTCCACGGCCGGGCACCCAGGGCCAGTGGCCTCGTGCCTCCCCGTGAAGGTGATGATGCAGGCCCGAAGGTGATGGCCACCTCTGTCCTTGGATCCTGGCTAGTCACCATCACCGTGGCCCACTGGAGCCGACCTCTCTGCCTTCTGGACAGTGGCCTCCCCTGAGAGGCTGCGGGGATCCCTGCCTCCCAGAAGCTTTGGCCCTCGGAGTGTCCCTCACCTGAGACCCCAGCGAGCCCTCCTAGCCCGGCCCCTGCCCCACGACCCCACCCAGGAGGCGCCTCCGAGTGGGGAGCAAGACCTCCCAAGCCTCCCCTGGGGCCAGCCTCAGTTCCTTCACTGCCCGAGTGACGGGGGCTGGATGTGCGAATGTGTGTCTTTGCATGAGTGTGAGCGTGTCTGCGTGTGTATGTGTGTGTGTGTGCGAATGTGTGTGTGTGTGCGCGCGAGTGTGCCTGTGTGTGTGTGTGTGTGTGCGAATGTGTGTGTGTGTGAGTGTGTGCGCGCGAGTGTGCCTGTGTGTTGGGCAGAATCAGCATGGAGAGCGGAGGGGAGGGAGGGAGAGGTAAAACAGGCCTGAGTGACCCCGGGGAAGCCAGAACAGAGCAGGGTGAAGGGCCCTCGGAGAGGCAGCAGAGGGGACAGGGGGACCTGGGCAGGACAGGGCAGAGCCAGAAGCAGGAGGGAGGGCAGCGCCCAGAACTGGGCCCGGGTGGGGAAGAGCCAGAGAGCCACCACTGCAAGGTCTCCAAAGAGGACAAACCTAGCCCCATGCCGGTTGGAGCAAGGCCTCCCCCACCCCCTGGCTCCCCTACAGTTGACCTGGGGAGCGGCTCCTCCTTCTCCCCTGCACCAGCTGGGCTGTGGGATCTTGAGCAGAACCTTTACCTCTGGGTCCCTGAGCCCCGGAACATGCGCAGGGGAGCAAGGTCTGGGACACGGAGGCCCTTGCAGGCCGGCTGGGCTCCCCAGGGGCTTGGCTGACGTCTCTGAACCCTTTGCCTCCTCTGTCCTGAACGAGGGTCTGCAGCCCACAGTTGTTGTGGTATGGAGCAGAGTGTGTGGGAAGTGCCGGGTGGGCTGATTCTCAGGCACCCACACAGGTAAGCTTAGGTTGGTGCCAGGTGGGGAAGAAGGGTGGCACTGGGGCACCCCAGGAACACAGACCACCCAGGGCCAGGTGGACTCTGCAGATGGGCTGCACTGGGGGAACCTCCCCAAGCAGTTGGTCCTGCCGGGCCTGGCAGGACCAGGAGTCCCTGGGTATGGGGTGCACTGAAGGGTCAGCCCAGGAGCCCCTACCCCGCCCTGTCCAGGGAAGGGTGCAGAGGGAGGCTGGGGGAGCCACCCTAGGGCTGAGAGAAGCTGCCCAAGGACAGGACCAGGCAGGGGAGAGGGGGACCCTGGCAGGGGACGAGGGAGCCCGGTGTGGAGTCTTCCAGAGACAAAGGCCTGAGCAGGAGGCAGGGAACCCGGAGAGGCAGCTGCGGAGGGGGCGGAGGCCAGCGGCCTGATGCTGCTGCGGAGCCTGGGCCTCGGACCCACGGCTGAGACCTGCCCCCGTCCAGCTGAGGCTCGACCCGGAGAGGGGAGCGCGCTCAGAACTTGAGAGGGAGGACCCTGCAGCTGCCCTTGGGGCTGTCACAACAGATAAAGCCGCTCCAGCCTCGCCGCGCTCCCCCGCGCGCTAATGCTCCGCAGCAGCTAAAAATACCGGCTGGAGGGGAGGGGGAGGGGAGGGAGGGGAGGGGGAGGGGGGGGGGGGGGGGGGGGGGGGGAGGGCGGGAGGAGGGGGCGGCTGCGTCCCGGCCGGGCTGCTCCGTCTCCAGAGCGCCCTGATGATCCAGATGTGCAGCTGCGGAGACGACTGCTCTGGGAACTGCAAATCACCGGCCCCTGGCGCCCCTCCCTTGGACAGGGTGAGGCTGCAGGAAGGAACCAGCGAGCAGGAGGGAGGCTGGACCGAGCCCTGAAAGAGGGAGACCTACCTCGGAGCTCTGCCGGCAGGGCCAGGGACGGGGGAGGGGGAGGGAGGGGGAGGCTGGAGGAGGGGGCAGTGGGGGGAGGGAGGGAGCCGGGCACAGACCCTCAAAGGACCAGGTTGGTGGGAACACCTCGGCCAGACCTCCTCCAGGACCTCCTCCCAGGCCTGTCAGGTGCCAGGCCTGCTGCAGCGGCGTGGGCGGGGCTCCGTGGAGAGGCCCCCAGGGTCGTCCGGACTAGGCAGGGAACCATGTGGAACCAGGTGAAGGCACCTCCTGGACGGCTGGTGCTGGACCCAGGGTACAGGGATAAGGCCACTGCAGCCTCTGCCCCTGGACAGAGACAAATCAGCAAACTCCACTCCTGAGTGACAGAGGCTGGAGGAAGGGTACGGATCAGGGAGCCTCTGCGGGAGGAGCCGGCCTTGACCCAAGATCTCACTGGTAAGAAGATTCCAGTTCTGCGAGCTCCAGAGGCCTGGCTCCCAAGAGAACCAGGCGGGACCAGGGTGGTAAACAGCAGAGCAGGGTTGGTGCCCAGGCCCAGCTGACCCCACACCTGGCATGTCACCCCGGGCTTTCCATCTGCCTGGGCCAGGGTCACCAAGTCTGACTAGATGGCTGTAGGGAGGCACAGGGACCCAGGGCCCAGGTGTGTGGGGAGAGAGCAGCCGGAGAACCTCACCCCTGCTTGCATACGGCCTGCAGGGTGCCCCCAGCAGTGCACAGAGGGTCCAGCATCAGGACAGAGGCCACCCGCCCTTGCAGGCAGGTGACCTGGGTAAAACGGCTCTCTGCACAAAGACCTTGCTTCTTTAGTTCACCAAACATTCTTTTTCTTTTCTTGTGCGGTACTGGGGATTGAACACAGGGCCACTCCACCCTGAGCCACAACCCTGGTCCTTTTTATTTTGAGACAGGGCCTCCCTAAGTTGTCCAGGCTGGCCTTGAATTTGAGATCCTCCTGCCTCAGCCTCCCGAGTCTCAGGAATTGCAGGCTCACCAAGTCGGCTGTTGCCAAACATTTCTGTCCTGAGCTCCTGCCGTGTGCTGAGCAGAGTCCCTGGCCTTGCTGTCCCCGACGGTGTGGTGGCCTGGGAGTGGGAGACTGAGGCTTCCGGCCACCTGCTTCTGGCCATAGGGACTCCACCAGCCCTCACCTCAGCCCTGGTCTCTGCCTGGGGCTTCCGCAGGCCACCCTTCAGTGAAACACCTGCACCCAGAACCCGTGCCTGGCGCCAGCGAGGCCTGGCCTGACCACCACCCTGGGCTCTGTGCCTGGCCCTTCTCTTTCTCCACAGGAGTTACAGTTTGTGGTGTCAGCCTCCGTTCAAACCCAGCCTCCTTTTGCCAGTCACTTGGGCCTCTGAGCCTCTAGCCTCAGCCTCCAACCCGTGAACAGTGCTACCTCGAGGGGCAGTTCTGAGAGGCAACACGCCGGCCCTGACTGGCGCCTCACTCGGCACAGCCCTCTTGCTCTGCCCGCCATGCGCCCTCCTGTGGCCCACTGGCCGCCATCTTTGGCCATCCTGCTGCTGGAGCCCAACCCAGCCCTCAAGAGATGGTGGTGCCGAAAGTCGTGGAGGACCCATGGGCTCCCCTCTGCCAGGGACGCCCCCTGTTTCCTTCCCATTCTCTTCCCTGGGCACGCGCCCCATCAATGGCAAGACGTGGATCCTGGCTGCTCCGCAGTGTCTGAACTGCTGTCTGGGTCCCCTGCCACTGCCCTCCCGGAGCCCTGTGTCCTGCGGACGCTCTTGCTGGGCTCCAAGAGGTGGGGACAGAGCCCAGCAGGATGGCATCACAGCTGGGTGCCGGCCTGTCCCCAGGCTCCTGGTCACTCAGCAGCCTGGACTCTCCTGGGTCACCAGGGCCACCAGGCGCCTCCTTGCTGTGTTTGTGCTGGGGTGAGCGTGCGCTTGTGCGTGCGCAGGTGGGAACGCGTGCTCTCAGGAGGAGCAGGGCAGGTCCTCTGTGCGGGGAGGGAAGGGGCCTCGCGGCCTGGGCTGAACAGGGCAGGACTGCAGCATCCCACCGGGGTGACACGGGCTGGCAGGGCCATGTGGCTGTTTGTTTGATTTCCCCCGACTTCCAAACTAGTTGAAATTACACACCAAGCACCGATTTAATTAAGTTTTCCGGTGTGTGGCATAATTAGTGAGACACACGTCGGAACGGGTGGGCGGGCACAGCCCTGCTCCTGCCTGTTACAATTTTCAGCCCTCGGGCCACAAAACATGGCGTTTGGGGGATGGAGGAGCCGGGCTGCCTGGGTCTCCCTGTGTGGCCTCCTGTCCACTCCACCCGGGGAGTGACCTGCCGCTACCACGGGGCCACAGCTGAGCTCAGGTGAAGCCCGGGAGCCTGCCGCCCCCTCAGGATGGGGCCTGACTGATCACAGGGCTCAGGGACGGTCACAGGGCCCGTCTGCTCAGGTTCTGGGGCACGATCACATTACAGGTAGGCGCTGCCCCCAGGGCGTGAGCCCCATGGCTCCATGGTGTCCAGCCCCATGGCGCGGGCGGCCCTCCTCCTGCAGACCTGGTCTCTCTCTGCTCAAGGCTGTGGTCACCCCAAGGCCTGCTGCCCGGGAAGCTCCACCACGTCAGGAGCCCAGGCTGCCTGGGAGGCGTAGACTGGGACTGTTGAGACCAAACCCAAATCCCCTTCGGAAGCACCTTCTGGACTTTCCAGGCCATGGGAGGGTGAGGCCTGCGCAGGGGAGCAGACCCCGCTCTGGCTGAGCAGGGAGGCTCCGTGGGAGCAGCCCCTTCTGAGCTTACGGCCCCTTGTCCTCGCGTGCCCTCTGCAGAGCGCTTTGCTCCCCGCTGCCCCCTGAAATGGCCTCTCAGAGGCCTCCAACAGCAGCTTGGGAGCCAAACCCAAGGCACCCATTCCTCCTTTCCTCCCTGGACTCCTGCAGTGTTCTCCCCGGCCTGTCCCTGTGCTCAGCTTGTGCTCCCCTGGCCGTCCCATGTCCCTCTCATTCACCTGAACAGTCTGGAGTTGCCAACCCCTGACCCTGGCCTGAGCCCAAGCATGTGGACGACAGGCTGCTCCCGGCTCAGGGCTGCCCTCCCACTGCCCCTGCCCAGCCAGCTGTGCAGCCCCCTGGCCCTTCCTGACCACCAGGGCCCTGAGCTGGGACTGCCCACCTTGCACAGTGGGCCCAGAGCCCCCGGGCAGCCCCCGTGTCTCAACTCACCACGTGACCCCAGGCCAGGTTCAGGACGTGGGATGGAAAAAATGTGGACATTTATTAAGCCCTGACTGTGTGCAGGCCTCGTCCTCAGTACTTGACCATCATTGGAGGCCCCAGCTCACTCCTCCCACCACTGTCCTCCAGTCAAGAGGCCAAGGCTAGAGCGCTCGCCTCGCATGGGCGAGACCCTGCGTTCAGTCCCCAGCACCCCGCCCCCCCAAAAAAAGGAGGCCAAGGCCAAGGCTGGAGGATTAGGATGCTTACTCATGGTGACATGGCTCTTAAGGGATCCCAGTCCTAGCGCCTGTCACCACAGCAGGTGGCCTGCCCAACCTCCATCCGAGCCTCTGTCCACCCTCCATCCACCCTCCCTCCGCCTGACCCCGGGCCTCGTCCCTCTTGCTCTCCATCCTCCCAGGGTTGCAGGCCCCGGACATCTCAGACTCTGCGATGCCCTTGAGCCTCGGCCTCTCTCCAGGTTGGCCTGGGGATTCAGTCCAGGTGACACCTGCCCTGGCCCCTCCCCTTCCTCTTGCACTTGGCCCTGACCGCGCAGCGTCACCCACTCTGTGCACACCCAGTGCAGGCCCCAGGTCAGGGGCTCTGCAGGGTCTCAAGTGCTCTGTGCAGGGGAGGACCCAGCCACCTGAGGAGCACATTCGGTGGGTGTGCCTCGGGGACACAACTCATCTTCACAGCAGCCTTAGGAAGAAGACTCATCTGTTCCTTGAACCTCCTTGGGGAAAGCCCTGTGCGTGCTGAGCCTGCACACACGACCCACAGTCCACACCAGAGGCCCCAGCTCTGTCCCCGGCCACATCTGCCTGCTGCTGGAGGGGACAGGTGCGCGATCCCGGGCCACAGGGCAGCAGCCCCACACGATGACTCTTAGCACCTAGGGCCTCGCCTGTGTCCTGAAGCCAGGACCCAGGACCCGTGGTGACAGCCTCACCCTTCTGTCAAGCACCAGGCTGTGCCCAGTGAACTCCGACCCATCCTGGGAGGCGACTGGGAGGGAGGAGAGAGTGTCTTTGGCACACCGGGCACCCTCGGGGTGGCTTACGACCCGTGGCCTTCTGCGGCCTCCCTGTCAGCCCAGTCAGGTGGGGGTGCTCCCAGGCTGCGGCAGGGGGAGGCCGGAGGAGAGGACGGGTCTGTGTGCTTCCTCGTGGCCAGGGCAGGCGAGCAAGGGCCAGTGGCCCTCCAGGTTGGGGTCGGGGTCCTGGCGGGATGGCAGGCTCTGGAAACTGTCCTCTGCACCTCCATCCCGCCCCCCATCCTCTTCCTTTCCGAGGCAGGATTCGGCCTCTTGAAATTCTGCACACTAATAAAATTGTAACTAATTTACATCCGAGATGGGGAGTGAGTGGCAGCGGTTGTCATGGAGACCATCTCCAGGGCCCTGCTGCCTCCGCCTCTCGGTGCAGCCGAGAGATCAAGAGATTCTTCTCCAGCTCTGCGGCTGGGGCCAGGCCTCTGCCTCCTCCTCCCGCCCTGGGCAGGCCCCTGGGGGCCGGGTGGGGGGCACAGGGCCTCTTCCACAGGCTCCAGGGTCTGCAGACTGCTCTGGACGATGAAGCCCCTGTCTCCTGGCTGAGCATCTGTCCCCACCCCCGCTTCCCTCACCTTGTGGACCCTATTGGCTCCTCTTACTCCAAATGGAGGCCCCAGAGGGACAAGAGGCCCTTTCCCTACACACAGCCAGTGACAGCGTCACAGTGGGGACCGTTTGCAGGGACGGAGCTACTTACAGAGCCATCTTCCTAGGAGAAGCCCCATCCTGGGACCTAAGGATCCTGAGCTGGAGGAGACACTAGCCCAGACTCCCAGAGCGCCCCAGGCAGCTGCAAAGGCACTGGGGTAGCTGAGCAGCAGCCGCGCCATGGGCTGAGCAGGGCCTCTGGTGTGCGGTGCTCACGTCTACCTCGAAGCAATGCATAGGGTAATATTGTTTTGTTCGGCTTTGTTTGCAGTTTGAGGGATTGAACCCAGGGCCTCAGGAATGCTGGGCAAGCACTTACTGCTGACCCATACCCAGCTCTTTTATTTAAAAAATGATTTATATTTCGGTACCAAGGATTGAACCCAGGGGCGCTCAAGCACAGAGCCACATTCCTTCCTTCCTTCCTTCCTTCCTTCCTTTATTTTTATTTAGAGATAGGATCTCACTAAATTACTAAGGCTGGCCTTGAACTTGTGATCCTCTTGCCTCAGCCTCCTGAGCTGCTGGGATTACAGGGGTGTGCCACCAGCAATGATTTAAAGGGTAATATTCACCAGGCTTGACTTAAAGGGTAATAGTTCAATCCCTGTTTTTACAAAAAATGAAAGGGTCTCAGAGAGGTGGATAGATAACACCCAAATTCAGACACCTGGTAAGCATGGGGACTGCAGGCAAAACCATTATGGTAAAGATAAAGCGCTTCCAGCAAAATAAAATGCTAACAAATCAGGGCACGTGTATGGGGAGAGAGAGGTGAGGTGCAGAGGGGCCTCAGGAATCATGGATGGAAGAAGCTGGGTTTTGAGGGATGAGTAGGAGTTCCCCAAGGGAGCAGTTGGAGAAAGTGTCCCCCGGAGGGAGCGTGTACAGAGGCGCAGAAGCGAGAACCTGCCCCACAGGGTGGGTCCAGGGGGGGATGTGGAGAAGGCAGGCGGTGGGCAGGGGCTGAGCGCGGAGGGCGCCTGCCGGTCCTGCTCACCCAGCACCCTGCCCCCTCAGATGGCGGGCTAAGCTGAAGTCCCAGCAGGGCCGCTGCTGGCACAGATGGGCCCTGGGCCCCAGTCCCTCCCCACTCTGGACCCAGGAACCAAACTCCAGAGATGGCTCCATTCTGACAGATTTCCGGGGTCCAGAGCTGGAGAAGCCAGGCTGAAGGTCCCCGGGGTGGGGGTGGGGCGAGGACTTTCGTCCTACAGGGGTGTCCTCAGCTACTGGCCAAGGATGGGTGGAGAGGAGGGCCGGGAGGGGCGGCGCAGGCGTGGCCACAGTGGGGATCTGGGGGCTGCTGAGGCTGGAGGTGGGCAGGGTCCAGTGGGCTGCTGGGGTCATAGACGCTAGTGGACGGCAGGCACCTATGCTCTGGGCAGCCTCCATGAGGCAAGGGCCTCTCCCCTCTGGGGGAGCCCGGCATCCTGAGGCCCCTTCAGGGCCCTCCTGAGGGTCAGCTCGGGGTTTTGAGTGGGGAAAGGAATTAAAGCCCCTCCCCGCTCCTGGCCACCCCAGTCCCCCCACAGTAGGAGCTGCAGTGAGCAGCTGGGGCGCAGGGGTCCTGCAGGGGAGGTGGGCGTGCCCGTGGGTGGGCGGGGCCGCTCACCTTCCACCTCAAGCCACAAGGTCCTTCGAGGCTGGATAATAAAAGTAAAAGCCCCCGGACAGAGAGAAGCCACACAGCCCCGATGTTGACCGAGCGTCTACTTCAGCCAGCGCTGAGCTCAGAGCAGGGGCGTGGTGGGTTGGCTCTACCGGGCTCCCCGTGCTCCCCGCCAGACTCCCTGTGCCAGGCCCAGGCGCTTCGGCCTCCCTGGAGGTCGCTGTGTGCTGTGCAGTGACGCTGCGGAAGGTGCATCCCTGAGAGCACGTGGGCAGTTCGCACCTCCGCTAGCTTCTGAGGCCATCTGGAACCAGACGGGATGGGTCAGCTGTGGGAGTTGAGAAGAGAAAGTTTGTGGGCTGCTGGGGGAGCCAAGGACCTGAGTGCCAGGCCAAGGACTGATGCAGAGCCCAGGCCTGGCATGTGGCCTCATGCTTGGCCTGACCACGCTCTGCTTTGAGGGCCACATGCCGGTTCAAAGCTTGCTCCCCTGTTTACTGTGTGACCCTAGGCAAGTTCCTTAACCTCTCTAAGCTGCTCACATCTCTTACCCACAGAGTGGAAATAAAAACTCCTGCCTCCAAAAGTTTGCTGATTTATTTTAGTATTAAATGAGATGATGCAAAGAAAGCAGGCAGTGGAGAACGCAGGGCGGAGGTCATGTTGGAGGAAAGCGTGGGGTCCCTCCTCCCACCCCAATCCCTGGGACCCTCAGGATCGCTGTGGAAGGCTCTCCCTTGACTTGTCCTGAGCCGGCTGGGAATCTCACGGGATGGAGATGGACTGCTGAGTGCCTTCATGCTTTGCATTTAAGTCTGTAACCCCTGTGTGTTTATTTTTGTACAAGATCCAAGGAGTAGGTTGGGGTTTGTTCAAAAAATGGGATATTGAAATATTCTTACACCATTTGTTGAAAAAGTATCCTTTATCCACCAAATAGCAATCTTGACCTCCCCATTGGTCAACCTCACCACCAGGTCCTTTGTGCTTTTCACTCATGCATTTAATAAATACTGAGGGACAATCAGACATTCACATGCAAAAAAGAGGGAAAAAAGCCCCTTGATCCCTACCTCACGCCACATGCAAAAATCGAGTTGCAGTGGGTCACGGGGTCCTGGTGAGATATACCCAACTTAGGGAACGGGGGAGGACTCTTGGGCACTTGGCCTTAGCAGAGTTCTGACTCAGGACCAGAAAGCAGAGGTTATGTGAGACAGAATTGACACATTGTACTTCATCATGGTGAAAGACTTTCTTCAAGAAGGGTCCTGCTATGAGAAGGAGAGGCTAACTCAGAGACGGAGGAAATGTCTGCAAATGACAAATCTGAAGGAGAGGTCCAGGGTACTTAAAGAACTGCCCGACTCAACCTGCAAAACGGACTCAGCTAAGAGGGGGCCACAGGCCTGCACAGACCCTCCACCAGAGAAGAGAGGCGGGGCCAGGCACAAAAGGATCATGGCCATCAGGGAAAGGAAGACCAAAGCCAAGCTGGTATGCCAGACCCCGAGCTCGGCTCAGATAAAAAGAGGACGATACCGAGGGCTGACGAGTCGGTGGAGCAACTGGAACTCCCGAGCCCTGCTGGCGAGAACACCCCGTGGAGCGGGAGTGGCCCTGGGCGTGCTCTTAGGAAGCCAGCCACCCTCCCGCCTGCTCACCACAGGACTGGCCGTCCTGCTGGCTCCCAGCACGGTCCTGGAGAGAGGCAGGCTTAGGTGGTGCGGGACGCACGTGGCTGGCCCGGCAGCTGCTTTACCACAGTCTCACACAGAGCACAGCCCGGTTCTGCCGCAGGTGGATGCGCCAACTGGGGTCCATCTGTACAGGGGACTGCGAGTGACACCAAGGGGCAGGACAAGGATCTGTGCAACCTCTCATGGCTCCTAAGGTCACCCTGCTGGGTGAGAGAAGCCAGTCTTGTCTTGTGCAATCCTGTTTATATGATTTTCTCCAAAAGAGAAAACTGTAGTGAACACATCAGTGGTTGCCGGGGTGGGGGGGGCTACAGAAGGCCACACTGAGGGGAAGTGGGGGGGACCCTGTTCTGGACCCTGATTGTGGCATCAATTTACACAGATTTGTATAAATGAGGAAATTCATAGAACTCTTTCCCCAAAAAAAGTGGCCATGGATGAGATTTTTAAAAAGATGATGCAGGGGCTGGAGTTTTTGGATAGTTTTTGCCTGTGACCCACACACAGGCCACCGCCCTCCCCTCGGGTGCCTTTGAATGGATGAGAAAAGGGCACCACCTCCCATGTAGGATGAAGCCTGGGCAGGGTCCGAGCCTGGCCCATGGAGAGCTGTTGGCATTGCAGCTCTGCTCGCCCCTAAGCAGCATCTTAGTGCAGTGAACAACCTACACGACTGTCCATGTGGGTCGTGCAGCCCCCATGTTTTCTTCCCAGACTCTCTCCTTCCCTGCAGATGGAGCTCTGACTGGCAGTCCCAGGGGGGGGAGGGGGGGCCATGCATTAGCCCTGAGTAGCCAGGCTGGGGCTTCTTGCTAATGGCTGCAAATGTGCTCAGTGCTGAGGCTGCAGGCTGGGGCTTTGGGGGCCTGCTGCTTAATGGCTGGCCTGCCAGAGAGGAAGAGGGACGGCAGGTTGGCCGACGCTGCCCAGGGTCAGACGATGGAGGGGGGAGGGCCTGCTGCAGCCTGGGAGCCCCCCCAGACACAAGAGGTGGGGAATGGGGGAGGGGCCCCCCTTAACCTTGGGCTGTGGCCACCTGGCTCCTCTGGGGCGTGGGGGTCACATGGCCCAGGAGCCGATGATGAACATTTCTGAGCACCTGCTGGATACGGGGACTGCGCCCAGGGCTCTCCACAGTGGTCATGACAGCAGAGGTGCCCATGCGACTGTGGTCCTGGCCGCAGGCCCCACCCGCCTCCCTGAGCCCAGGGGATGAGGGGGCTTCCCTGAGGTCACACAGCTTGGGCTCGGCCTGGCGCAGCTTGCAGAGTGGGAGCCTGCCTGGGACCCCGGAGCCTGCGCCCGCTGGGCAGCCTGCCTGGCACCCCCATGG